TACTGATAGTCTGAGGTGTGAACTGTACAGAGTAACACTGGCCAAAAAATGAATCTATGTTCAGTGTCTTGTGGCTGCATGGCAGAGGTTGTCTAACTGGCTCTCACCTCGGTATAGCAGTTTATTCTCAAGGTTAATAGGAGAGCATCTGCTACAGCTTTGAATCTCTCAGACTTCTTCTGTCCCTGACTTCTAGACCCCCTTTTAAAAGGACCTAGTCACAATCAAGGGGAGGGCAAGCCATAGGGTTTGCATGCCAGAGGAGAAAAGAGCAGTTTTTGGGTCCTTTTGGAATTCTACCTTTCATAAATGATTTAAATTTAAAATGATTATTGACAGGTGATTGTGTTGAATTCTGCCCTTTCGGTATTGTTTTCAATTTATTGTGTTTCTTTGTCAATGTCCCCTCCTTTTTCTGACTTCATTATGATTTTTTTGAGGTACCAAGAATTGAACCAGTGCCTTCTTACCAAGCTATATCTTCAGCCTCCCTTTTTTAGCTCCCCCTTCTTTTGAGACCGGGTCTTCCCAAGTTTCCCAGGCTGGGCTCAAAATTGTGATTTTCCTGCCTAGCCTCCCAGAGTCCTGGGATTAGAGATAAGTACCACCCTACCAGACTTGATTGATCATGTTTTGTAATTCTATTTAATTTACTTTGTTGCCTTAGTAACTATAACTCTTTGTTGTTATGTCTATAATTGCTTTAAGGATTATATATTTATATATCTTTAATAGTCTACCTTTAGGTGACTGTAAGAACCTTATGACTACTTTCATGTCTTCTCTCTTAGCCGTTGCATTATTGTTGTATAATTTTCTTCTTTGCGAATTATAAACCCTATAATATATTGTTATTTTCCCTTAAATATTTAGTTATCTTTTAAAGAAATGTAAACATTTTATACTTAATTACATAATTACCATATCCAGTGCTCTTCTTCCTTTTTGTACAGCTAGATTTTTCCATGTGGTCTCTCTTCTTCCTGTTTATAGTGCAAAACTATTGGTGATAAATTCAGACTGCACATAATTGTATAAGTCTACATTTTCCCTCCATTTTTGAAAGATAATTTTGCTGAGTTAAGAATTCTTGGTTGATAGTTTTTTTCGTTCAGTACTTTAAAGAATGGTGGTCACCTGTCTTCTGATTTGCATTGATAGCACCCATTAGAAATCTCCTTACCTCTTTTCCTCTCTACCTTATGTATATTTTTCTCTGGTTGCTTTTATTTATTTATTTATCTTTTCCAGTACTGGGGATCAAACTCAGGTGCAGTGTCACTGACTAAATCCCCAGATGTTTCTGGTTGCTTTTAAGATTCTTCCTTGTAACTGATATTAAGCAGTTTGATTATGCTGTGTCTTGGTTTGGTTTTATTTGTTTCCTATGTTTCAAAGTCATTGGGATTTTGGATTGGATTGATAGTTTTGATAATATTTGTATATTTGTCAACCATTGTACCTTCAAATATTTTTTCTGTATCTCCTTCTTTTGAAGATTCATATATATATTTGAGATCTTGAAATTGTCCCAAACTCATTGATGATGTTTTCTTTTTCCTCTGTGTATTTCATTTAGAATTATTTGCACTGCTATATCTTCAACTTCTCTAAACTTTTTCTATGCAAAGTCTCATCTGCTCCATTTAATCAACCCAAGAAATTGTTGTCTTAATCTTTATAGGTTGAATAGGACCTTTTATTTATCCATTTGTCTACATGCTTATTTATTTTATATAGTTACTTAAATGTAGAAATTAGTTATAATACCAGTTTTGTTGTTCTTATCTAATTCTATTACTTGTACCAATGTTGGGTTAGTTTCCAGTAATATTTTCCTCATTATTGACTGTATTTTCCCACTTCTTTGTTCCTGCCTAAAGTTTTTTTTTTAAATTGAATACCACACATTATAGATTATACTTGTGGAGTACTGGGTATATTATATTCCTAGAAATAGTCTTTGTGTTTGTTATGTGACTCAGTTGTGTTACTTGGAAATAGCTGATTCTCTTAGACATTACTTTTAAGGTTTGTTAGAAAAGGTCAGGGCAGTATTTAGTCAAAGGCTAATTTTTCATCACAATTGAAGAAAAATCCTTTTTTAGTGTACTGCTTAATTTTTCATGAGTTGGAAGATTTTCCACTGTTACAGGTTGGAACAGGTTCTGTGGATTATTCTGTGTGAGTCTGGGATTGTTTTCTTTAATCTCTTCGAGTGTTTCCTTCCCAGCCTCAGCTAGTTTTCTCATATGCATCAGTTTATTGATTTTCAGCTGAATACTCGAAGAAATCCTCTGAAAATTTCCCTCTTTGCAGTTCTGCCCTTGCCACTAGTCTTTCTGTGAATGCTAGCTGCTGTGGGTTCCATAGACTCTCAGAAATATCTCAGTCTAGTAACACTTCTGGTCTCTGTTTTAGAATCCCTCTCTGTACCTTGGCCAAGAAACTTTCTCCAGGCAGTAAAGTGAAAGTCTTTTGTTTTTCTTTTACATGTCTGAGATCACTTATTTTTTAAAAACAGCAAACCCTGATGTCTAGTGTGTATTGAACTATTATTTCATATACCTTTACCTGCCTCACAGTTACTTTAGTTTGGAGAGTAAATCTGGGTCAGAGTGTGTAAATTCAGTTTGTGTGCGTTCTTTTAAGATTATATACATGAGTGCCCGTTTAAAAAGAAAACCACTACCCCAATGTATATTTATTATAGTTCTTCTAGTAACTGGCTAAGTATTCCAGTTAATATATATCACTTACACATACTTATATGTACTGATGATACACATAAAAGGGATGATCAAAATATACAGTGAATAATTTTTAAAAGATCGTTACCATTAGTTTCCCTCAAAATACTCCCCTTTGCTTTGAATATGCTTATCCCACTGTTCCTGACACTTTGTGAAGCAGTTCTGGAATTTCTCTTTTGAGAATGTCTTTATGATGTGTGATTAAAAAATATGATAAATGCTGCTACTGAGTACTTGTTCAATAGAAAGGCAAGCTTGTAAAAACATACACTGAGTTTCTGAATCAGTGCTTTATATGACAAAAGCATGAGTTCCATTAGAAAGGAACACTTACTATCCCTCAATTTCTACACTGCTGTCTTATCATCTTGCCTGGGGTCACTTAAAAGTTAAGCCTGGAACTCCATTTCCACTTTCTGTACTTGGAGAGTTTTCTTACTGCCTAGCAGCTCGCATTTCCAAGATGCAGGGGCCACTGTATATATTATTGGGATGCATTTGTTAAATTAACCTAAATTTTGCCTGAAGATGCTTGTATATTGTGAGTCCGTACATAAAGAACTACAACCTTGGTATGTGAACTAACTGAAAGCCTAATGGAGGCAAACACTTTTGTAACAAATAGCTGAGTCTTAGCCAATCACAGCGGCCAAGACTCAGCCAATCTCCGGTGGCCAACTGATCAGAACATATACATGTAAGGCATGTACTGCCAAGCTATTTTCTATACCCATCCATGTTTGGAGGAGTTCTCTGAACCTCTTCTGGCTCTGAGGCGTGCCTTATTATGATTCATTCTTTGTTCAGTTAAACTCTTTCAAAGATGTAGTTCTTCCTAAAGTTGTGTTTTAACATATCCCAGACTTCCCATCATCCTCCAGGGAGACTCACTTATACTGGGCATCGTTTTTTCCTATAACTTTCCTTAATAGTAAAGACTAGGGTTTAGTGATGACTAATGGGGTTGTCAGTAGCCTGTAAAGATACCTATGATTTATTGAGCAGCTACCTTATGCTAGGGTTTTGTCTCTAAAACTAACTAGGAAAAAGATATAAGGGAATCAGAGAAGGCTTTGCAAAAGCCTGAATGACGAGAGGAAGGTAGGTGATATGAGGCATAGAACGGCTTGTATCCCCACAAAGGTAATGGCACGTGTAAAGTTGTGGAGGCAAGAAGAATGTGACTCATTTGAGAAATTCAGTCAGTTTGGCAGAACAAAAAGAAGTAGAGAAAGAATGTGGCTTTAAGATAGAAGGGGGAGTGGAAGATAAGGGAATGATGAAATTGGGCAGCTAAAATAGATCATGCAGGACTTTGCAAATGATACCAGGTCATTCGGGTTTTTTTCTCGTGGACAGTTTGGAAATGCCCCATGCATTTTTGGCATAATACTCCAATTACAGCAAAGAAAAGTGTTTTAAGGGAGTACAACTGTGCAATTACAGTGACGGAGAAAAGTGTACATTTGTTCCAAAAATTCAACGATAACTTACGCAGTCTCTCAGCCATTTATACATTCAACAAATATAATGACTGCCTAATAGATATTGGGCTCTGTGACTAAAATATGTTAAACAATTCCACGTTGTATCATTACAAATTAAGTATCATTTATTGAGTCCTTGGGTGCCAGACACTGTGTTGAGTGACTTGCAGAAACATTACTATTACTTTTTTAACAGGTGAGAAAACTGAAGTAGAGAGAGGCAAACACATCAGTGACACAGGTAGTTAATGGTAGGTCAGAATTTTATCTCAAATCATTTGACATCCTGCCAGATTTGGCCTTGTTACTTAAATTCATACCTGTAAATTATCCATCCAAGCTTAAGGAAAAATGTATTTTGAAATATTAAAAAAATTTAATCAACAACCTGTAGGACAGTAGCCCTAGATTTACATGAAAAAGCTGCCCTTTCTTTATCGATGAGGAATAATTTTATATATGTCTACATGAGCTGCTAGGTAAGACTTAGAGTGCTCAAGCCTCAAATTAATTTTCATTCCCAAGACTTCATCAGATGATGTGAAGGTGCTTTTTTTCCAATTTGTTTTCCCCATTTTGTTTCTACCCATTAGCAATATTAAAAAAGGATATATTTAAAAGAGTAATTTTATTTTCAAATAGGAGACAGGAAAATGCATACTAAAATAATGTCAGAATTTCCAGGGTAAGATATTGTGATTGTGAACTTGTTTGCCGAAACAGTTTTATTTGGGGTTCAGTATAAATTTTCAATAGCTGTTTTTCAGATAAGAAAGGAGTAATTCAAATGCAATTACATAAACAAGAAGATCAGAGGGGAATTATCCTGAAGAGTATAAAATGAACCAAGAGTCTCAGTCATCACAGCACCAGCTCACCCATACAAAGTAAGGTAGGTGTCTATTGAGAAGCCTCTATGAAATGAAGCTTCTGTTCTGATTTTCTTTTAGTTTTACAGTTGTAGCATTTATTTAAAAATTGCAAATGCTGAGAGATAATTTGCTTCATTAGGTTTTAAATTTTAATTATTGCTCCAAATTGTTCAGCAGTGGACCAAGGTGAGTGAAATACATTTTATAAGGGTAAGTAAAAGATTGAAACTGTACTGTATCCCTAAAATGTACCAATAAACTCAATTAAAGCTGAAAAAAAATTTCACTGCCTTAAAGGAAGAGATACAATGGTCAGTTTCCTAATGAAGGATGTTTGATATGCATGGATTTATCATGCTATTGTGTTGCATTAACTATCAGTTTAACAATCTGTATACTAAATATTTTCCATTAATAATGGTCATTTTGATGAAAATATTCTAGGAGATCTTAAATTCAGTTTTGAGTACCTGCAGGGGTAATATACTATGTATTACAAAGTCTTTTTGATTATTTAATAGTGTAACAACCTTGGGTAGTATCCAACACACACATATACATACACCAGCCTAAGAGTATATTTTGCTGTCTAGAAAAATGTACTACTTTAACTAAGTTCTGGGATTGTTCATAGGACAGGAAAGTCGTCCTTTTTGTAGTATAGCAAGGAATTCATAAGAAAAGATTAGTGAAGGAAATTAGCAGAGCAGAGAGAATTGTGTTCATAAAGAACAAAATTAGAGCAAAAAGAATAGACATGGGAAGAGAGAGGGTCAAAGCAAAGAACCTATTTTGGAATAAAGAAAAGAATTGAAAGTGAGGTCATACTTAACCATGGCACTGAAGAAGGCACTGTTCGAGGTCTGCCTGAAATTATGCCTTCTGTCTTTAGGTGCTCAGTAAATGATTTATGATGATCTTATTTTATTTTATTTTTTTGGTACCAGGGATTGAATGTACAACCTTGTGTCTTCGAGGCAGGTGCAGTGCCACTGAGCTAAATCCCCAGTCCCTTTATGATGATTTGAGAAGAGGTAATTTCAGTTGCAGACATAAAAACAAAGTGACAAGAAATAGTGGCAAATATATGGGAAAGTACTAACTAATACCCAGTCATATAGTGCTACACATTTATGTATTTTTTCTTATTAGCACTCCAAGTGCTTTACATGTGTTATTCTTTTTATGATCTTAGGAATGAGTATATGGAAAAATGAAGGCACAAAGAAATCAAGTTTTTCATTTAAACACAATAATAATTAAATCTGGAAAAATAATTCTAGATTGCTAATTCTTAGACCAAGGATCTGTCTTTGATTTAGCACATAGAATCACAAAGTATTGTGCAGTAAAGACTTACATAAACATCTTGTAATTCTAAGCTTTTCTTTTATAGATGAGAAATTTGAGGTCCAGAGAGATTATGTAGGTGAACTTTTACTATACCCAATAAAGAGGAAAAGGAGAAAGAATAGTTACTATTTTATCCTTAAGGTTGTGATGTGGCTGGTAATTCATCGTTTTTTAATATTTTCACTTTTGTTAAAGTTCTACATTTACAAGAGTAACTTATGAAAAGTATCCATTGCATATAGGGCAACAATGGGAAAATTGTAACACAATTTTTCATCCCACAGTAATAAAAATGACCTCCACATTGCAGAAATGAGGTCCAGACAGATTAAATATTTAGTATTTCTCATAGATCCATGGGAGAATTGTTCCTTAATTTTTAGATCAATATCCTCAATACTAGTTCATCACAGTTATATCTTATATAGAATTGTAGAATTAGAAGTTGAAATACATGAAGTGAATTATTTCCTTTAGTAAAACTCAGCTGGTCAGTGTCCAAATAGCCAAGAACTGTATGACCATACTGAGTATCTTATATAATTTAGGTAGTTGATATTTTTAAGATCCCGCAGAGAGAGGATCCTATAGGTCTGTGGTTCTAAGTTAACTGAATCAACTTTATACCATAGAAAGAGCTCATGTTTGTGAAACACTGGAGAAAGGCAGATCTCACAAATTCTTATATTTTCAGGCTTGGGTTGTAGCTCAGTGGTAGAACAAGTGCATGAGGCCTTGGGGTTGATCCCTCACATTGCAAAAAGCAAACAAAAAATCATAGGAATTCTTACATTTTTACTTTTTAATGTAAACATCAAAAACCCTCCAAGGAATGCTTGAATGCTTGAATTTTATTTTGAAAGAGTTCACTGGGAAGCCTCCTTTGTCCTTAAAATAATTTAGTTTGTTTACTTATAAGTAAATGTAGTGAACATAGGAAATCTTTGATAATTGAAGGTCTCAGAGTTATAATTTGAACTTTTTTAGAGCTATTAGAACAATCTGTATTTTAAAAATTTGTATTTACACTTAACTCTTTTACTGGACTGTCAGAGGCCAGAGTCCTCTTATCCATTTTGTATCTCTCAATGCCTTACTCAGATGCTCAGTATATATTTAACTAATTTATCTGAAACTCTTATTCTAGGAATAAGAAATTGACTGGAATGACTATTAATCTTTAGAAGTTGACATTTAAAATAACTCTGATAACCTGTGTAATGTGGTTTTCATTTTTTCTTATAAGTTTAATGCAAAGTTCTTAACTTTGGCTGAATGTATGAGGCTGAGTATATGAGGTTTCAGTAAGTAGAGGTTTTAGAGTAAGACTGCTGGGATATAACTGATAGTTGAGAACATGATGATTGAATAAAATGATATTTAGTGAAAATTTATTTAATAGGCTAAGCAAAGAACTTTGTGTTCATTTATAACACTGTTTCATTAGGGTGTGTATTTGCTTTATTGATAAAACCTGTATAATATTAGTAAAATGAAAAAAATCTTATCTTTGAGGTGATCAATTTACATCCAGAAGTCTGACATTTGATTACTTTCTCTTAGTAGCAGAACCAAAATAATTATAAGTCATATCATTATCCAGGTCATTACAATGTCCAGTCGATAGGGAACAGATTGTTCATTCAACATTTCTGCTCCCTCCTGGGGCACAGTGGACCCCCTGTTGTCTTCCATGCCAAAAAGATATCTCATGTTCCTGGCTAACCCATATTAGATCTGTCATCCTTCATTGTTTTATTCTCATTTTGACACATTATGTTTTTGCTTCTTATCTTTTTGGCGTGAGTTCTATATATCTCCTATGTAAAATAATCTTTTATTTGTCCCAATTTTACATTGTTCAACCTTCAAGGACAATTCTAAGGGTTCAGAAAGGGTTCTTAGATTTCCGAGTTAGCCCCTTCACCCCAGTGGTAATTTTAGTGGATCCTCTCTTAACTCCCTCTAGTTTTCTGGTTTCTTCCTTGACCAGAAATGGGTGGAATTATATGCCATTGGGTGGTACTGATGTTTGGATGTGCTCTTTTGCGTGTTTCTTTGCTATTTCTAAGTATGATAGAAAGTTTGCTGGCCTTTTAAGACATTTCACCAAAGGTTTTAGAAAACTATAATTTTCAGAATTCCCTTACTAAAGCATAATTATTAACTCACTTCTTTTTTTTTTTTTTTTTTTTTGGTACCGGGGATTGAACTCAGGTCCTTGCGCTTGCAAGGCAGGCCACCGAACCACCAAGTTAAATCCCCAGCCCCCCCCCTTTTAAAATTTTTAAAACTCACTTCTTAAAAAGCAAATATTTAGGTTATATTTCCATAAAATGAATTTTTATATTTAATTGAGATGTATATCTCTTCCACTTTTCTGTTGTGATGCTTTGGGCTTGCTGTTTCAGGGCCCAGTGGAATTTAATGTCACTTGCTAGCAGTATTTCCACTGTATGAGCTCCTACACGATGGTCTATGTAGGTCGTAGCTACCTCTAAGCGTATTTTGGGAGAGTTTGACAGCATTAAATATGTAAAAACACTTGACAGAGGGCCTAACACAAAGTA